CAGTATGTACAAGAGGTTTCTAGCTAGCGGAATTTCGAATGATCTTATTACAGCACGAAACACTGCGAAAACGCATGATCGCACGGGCCCGCCGGTCCGCGTCGCCAATGATTTTTCGAGTGCAACTCCTGAAAACAAGAGTTAGTCTTTCTACGATTCGTCCATTCGTCTCTACGGCAAGTTGATAATGCGCATGCCAGCAAATTCCTTTTAAGAAACTCTCGAAAAAGTAAACCATCGATAGTCTTACCAAGGGTTGGTTGGTGATTGCATTCGTTACCACTCGATGCAGCTTTCAGAGTGCCTCTGCCTTTCGCAGAAAGTATAGAAACGAAGAGGGTTTTGACTTTTGACTACTGAATTTATAAAAAGAGGAATTTTCTGGATCAACCACTGCCACTTCCCTCACTTCTCACTGATATTCACTTTGAAATGGCCGCAAAACGGCATTTGACTTGTAATCTTCACCATGCGCATGTCAAGTTCGATCCAGTTTGAAACTTTTTTCGATGGCACAAAAACTGCTTGTCGCCACCCGTATCTTAATTTCACCGTAAAAAGTCGGTAAAAAATGAACCAGTGCAAATGATACAAATAAAAATGACGACCCGTCTCGTCTTAATAACCTCTAAAAAATAGAACCACAAAAAAAAGGATAAACTGAAATTGCAGCTACAGGAAAATTAAATTACAAAAATTAGGATGATTTATTTCGTAAACCACATTAGTGCTATAGTTGTTAATGTTTTTATGCAGTTTGCTAGCAGTCGAAACCTCCGGGAAAAAAGGTTTTCGCAAATTTAATTGAATTCTTAATTAATAAGGGAAAATGTGGTTTAAACAAGAAATTTCGACGCTGAGAACATTAGTAAACTGCTAAACAACTGCAGCACTAAACGAGGTAGAATGGTTCCGTGTAACTGGAAAAAGGAGGAAGGGTGGAGTGTAGTCTTTTAATTACAAACAAAATTATACAACAGAAGGAGCGAGAATAGGCGTCAAAGAAGAAAAAAGATTAGAACATAATGTCCAGAAGCAATAACATCAACAACCGAAAAACATATTATCAAATTTTTCTTAATGCCATCAAAGAATATACCAATAAATAAAAATTCCTCCAAAAGGCATAGCTAGGCTAGAAGGCTGTATTGCCGTACCTACTCACTGAGGTGTTTGAGTACTTTTTAATCATCACATTTTCCTAGCATGAGGAAAGTAAATGCCTTATTCCTAGGCCTCTATCAACTTCATTATTTCGTTCCCCTTCAGTATAAAATTTCTCAACGATTTTCTCCTCTCCCGAATAGTATCTAGCAAACAAACTGAAAAATGCTGGCATGGTACTGTCGACATAGTATTTTTATCACTACGACCCAAAACATTACAGGGAAGATGATTCTCCTAGAGACGTGAGTTTCGAATCACGGATACACCGCAAAAATTAGACCAGTGAGCAAAATCGAACCGAACAACACAGCGCAGTCACTTGTTCCTAATATAGTGAATATTACCAAGCAGTAGTGAACAACTAAACAATGGCATCAAAAAATAACAAATTTTCCAATTTACGGCATGGCAAAAATGACACGCCATTGCCAAAAGAAATTAAAGCAGTGAAACGTCCATGGTTACTGATCTACAGCCTTCTCTCCTTGTTAACTTATTAGATGATATTAACAGTGAAACTGACGAAAATAAATTACGCCCAATTAATTTACCCTGTACTGGATTTGAGAAGTGGAACGGGAAAAAAACATGGAGTAGTAAAGAACGAAAATCAGTGCTCAGACAAAAGGCGGATGAGTGACTTTAAAAGCTCAATCAGTTCACTGAGTTCTTCAAAACTAACACTCCTTTGGGCATTAGCAATTTTTTGAATTCTGAAACAATACAGTGCACATCGCGCCGGGTAGACCACACTAGCAGGCGAAAATCACTGAATAGAAAATGGAAAAGAAAATCAAATTGTACAGTAACAGCAGATGGTGCAGGGCAAAAGTGCCTGGCACAGCTGTTTTTGGCACTCCAGCAACACCACAGCACTCTGCACTACGCACACGAGCAACCAGAAGTTGGATCAAACAACGGTTTTTTTTTGAACAAAATTTAAGTTTTCCCATATAAAACAATCCTCGGGTTTTGGGGATTAATGGACGGAGAAATCGATTTTTCAATTCTCTGCGTGTTTTTTTCTGCCCTAAATTCTCCGGTCTAAAAGCGTGTAGTCGCAGAAACGGAAGTAATTCCATAAATTGTCATTCCATAAATCTTAAGGGTTCCAATGAAACAATGTATCCTGCATGCTTTAATTCCAGTAACCACTGCACCATCTGGACTAGCTAATGTCATAGTATTTCGATAGTGAAAAATGGTGTCCTAGCATAGACTAAAACAAAATCTGTGCACTCTGAATGGCTGATAAACTGGATCTATATTACAGTGGGAATCAATGAGTAATTGCTGGATTTTGCAGGTTACTGAGAAATTGCAAAGCCTGGGCTTGCGGGAACTGGCTGAGAACGCTGGCCGCTGTAAGCGACTGGTTAAGCGCCTGGTGAGCAGCGAGGCTCACGTGAGTGAGTGGACTGGACATCAGAGTGTTCTGAGCGAAGTGGTGGTGCTCCGGGGACAGTGACGTTTGCACGAATAGATCCTGGCCCAAACTTCCAGCTGCTACTGCTGCTACTGCTGCTGCTTTACCCAGTACTGATGGATCGAACGGATTCTGATCAGCTGCCGCAACTGCTGCCGCTGCAGCTGCAGCCGCAAAGCTTGTAGTTGCCTGCGCTGTTGGTCTTGCAACTGTAACATTCAGCGCTTCCTGATTTACTGGACTTGGCTGTTGTTGCTGCTGTTGTTGCTGCTGCTGTTGCTGGTGAACAGATAATGATACGGCAGCATCAACAGTTGGTGAGGATTTTGATGAGGTCTTCTCGAGACCGTCAGAAGTTGAAGCAGTGGATGCACCATAATGTGACAGCTTCAGATGTGACTGCGCTTCTGCCTCAGCGCGAGCTTTCATTGCATGAGATTTCATATGAGCATTCAAACTTTTCACCTGCAAAGTATCCTGTTGGCTGAGTGGGTGCTTCAAAATTCAGCCAAGTAGAAATCAGGATGACTCTGTACTTCCATCCGTGTACCGCAGTTTGACGCGTGTGTCAGCGCTACTTTTACGGAGGGCAAATACATTGCTTCATGAAAAATTAACCTTTTCAAAATATTTATCGCATAGACGGCAGTGGAAGAAGCCATCAGCTGCAGGCTGGGCGCCTTTCTTCGGTGGTACACGATGCATCTGTAAAAACTGTCCGTCTTAAAATGATCATTAGACCTATTATACTATCAGAATTTTGCTTCTGGTACTCGAAACGCCGCAGTGATATAGTGATTCAGTGACCCATTGTTGTCACAGAATCTAGGTGGAGCCCTTTAATATGCAAAGTCCCAGAGGACACGAGGGAAAGGGATTTGGCAAAATCCTCTCAAGCAACCTGCGAGAAGTGGCGGGAAGATGAAGCATCGCTACCAACCGCCAGCGGAACAACAACGTTTGCATGCAGTGGTTCCGTGAACCTCACTGTCGAATACTTGCGTGCCACAGGCGAGCAATTCGCTTTCAGATGCGATTGACCCATCTTCAACTTGCTGAAACAAACTGCTTGACCGGACTACAGTATGCTATTAAGACGAAACCACAGACAAACCTCTTGCTCTCAGTTACCTCACTCAAGCTGCTACACATGGACTTCACCATATGCGCGCGCGCGCTACTTTTTCTGGAATTTTACAAGTGACCATTTTCATCTCACAGGCGCCGCGCTGCAACTTGCAAACTCAGACAGCTTCAACAGCCGCGTGCTCTAACTAACACGCGTTTCTTTTGCTTCAAGCTCTTCGGTGCTTGCAGTTTCTGCACTTTGCCCCGCAGCTGCGCTTTCTGATCTCATGAGAGTTTTAAAAAAATTTTTAGTTCTTACTCCGTGTCATACGAAATTTCAGAAAAATCACTCCCGGCTTCCGACCCAGATACTTCTCCGCTTTCTGCAGGACAAGGATTTGATCGCACATTGCTGCTTTCCGCTAAATCAATCTAAATAAAACAACGTGAAGTTAAGACTGAACACTTAATAGCCTACCCTCATGCATACTTTAGTTTTTTGCCCTTTCTTTTTAATTTTTATTTCGAAAGCATCCAAATCTAAAGAATAAATAATGTTTATTCCACTAAAAAAACACTTATTGTTTGGAGTAGTTGTACGGCAGACCGAGAGTTCGATTCCACCAGTGGGGCAACCAATCCCTCTACAGTTCATTCATTCATTTTGATGGCAAAATCGCTATTGGCACTGCCAAAGAATTAAGCTTTCATCAGCCTGCTGGTAAGCAACTTTCGAAAAAGGCAACCATCGACACTTTTGCCAGCAGGCCGTTGCTGTTAGCATTTTGCTGCTGTTCAAACTACTTTCTATGCCTCCGCTTCTCCAGAGGGCAAACACGGGGAAAATTTTAAGCTTGACCTTTATTCCAAAGTTTTATTACCTGCTGCTGCATCTCCAATAACTGTCGTTTACGTCGCAGATTTCTTAGTTTTCGATAATCATCAGGACAAGCCTTTTTCCACATATAATAAAATTCCACGCACTGTTTCACCTTCTTGTTACCCAACTACAATTCAAGGGAATGTAAGGAAGACAAACAAATAAATAAACTTTCCACTCTCCGTTAACTCGAATTGTAAAAAATTAATCCGAAATCGAAATTTGCAGTTATCGGTGCAAATTTACAAAGAGCAACTAAAAGTGCAAAAATCAGGACAAAATGAGTCTAAAAGACGTCTAGCTTCCAAACACTGTGCCTTTTAATTCGCAGCAAATAATTCATCATGAATGCCTCTCTGGTCTAAAGATACGGAGAGTTCGAATCAGCCAAAGACTATAAGCGAAGCCATGCTAAATTCAGTTCTCCTGTCCCATCTGTCTTCATGCCATACCTCCCTTAAAGGCCGACTGAATGGAGTCTACTTTTCACAAAATTACCAACTGCTGATAAGCAAAGTCCACAGATTGCCGCTGTTTCGTTTCACTCATGGTCAGGATCACATATTTACACTACTTAAATATGAAGGGGTTTTCTGCCAGCAAATAACAGAATCAGCCAAATGTTCCAAAAGTCAAGCTGAAATGTGCGGAGTTCTTTTTCTTTTTGAAGTATTATTCACCGAAAAAAGGAAATGTCAAGTGGAAGTGTTTCAGCAAATACATTTGCTCTGCTATAAACTTTGATAGGTTGCAAAATGTGTGTGGTGTTCTCTTGTGCTAGGAGCTCAAAGGGCAATAATATTTAGCCAAAATCTATAGAAAGAGCCGAAGGCAATGAAGCCCATTATCCAGAAAATGGCGATAGCCTAGCGCAGTACTAGTGTCCGACAATATTCACTGCTGTATTTAAGAAAAAAACAAATAAAACGAAGTTAATTTTCATAAGCGTACATCCATTGCTACTTGATGGAAATCCTTTTCACTCTTATAGATTGCATCCTGAAAGAAATTGACTTCCTCCGGTGTCCAGAAACTGGTATCAGTATACACCGAATTATAAATGATCGGGTACTGGCTCCAATCTAAAGTATCCGATCGCATCAAATCCTGCACAGCTTCTTGAATATTGCCCTGAGAAAAAAATATAATTTGATGAAGTGTTTTATAGGAAACAAATAAAAGCCTGCCATGTTATGACAAGCTGTGCTAAGCATAGCTGCTTCCGACATATGAGCGCATTCTAGTAAAATCACAAATACTATAGCCCTATACTAACTGCCCAGGCAATCCTAGTAATCTTGGTGAAAACATCACTGGAATTTTGCCAGGTCGACATACAAATAAAGTCTGGAAAAGACAGAGGATATAGTCAGCCCAGTGTTTGGTAATTTCAAATCTAAATACGCACTGATCAAATCCACTCATTCAATTAAGCTTTTCACATATAGATCAGCATAAGCACTACTGGCACACCTAAGAATGATCGCCCTTGTTCCACCTCACCCACTAATGGGACTCGCCCGTGAGAAGAAAAGGTGTATCCGAGCCAAGATGCAAAACTTAAACAAAGGCTATTCCAAATCTTGACAAAATAGGTTAACCCACACAAAGTGCTACATTCCAGGACGCTACCGTGGGGATCTGAATGGAAGAGTAGCTGCAAAGTACGCAAGCTTGTACAAGCAAGCGCGACACAAGATCTCCACAACTTCTTAGGAATTGCAAGGTTGTAAAGCTCGCTGCATGTTGATAATATTAAGGTCTTAACAGTGTCACAGCAAACACACAAAAAAATATATATATATATGATTCAACAGGAAATCATAGATAACTTGATAAGAAACTTTTCAAAAATATATTATTTGATAAAAAGTATGAAAAAACCAGTGGATTTCAAATTTTTGTTTGCGTCAAAAATTCCATTTTTTTGTTATTACCAAAACCGATTATTATGTCCCCATTAATTTCCTAATTATCAAGCAAGTTCAAATAGGAACGCATCATTTTTCCCGCGGTCAAATTCCATTAAACTGCTCTTTAAACAAAAGAACTATGGAGCGCTTTGCACGCAGCTAGATGGCGCTAATAAAAATGCTAACAGCCTGGGCGACAAAAAATCGACTTAACTCTTTTAATTTCAAAAAAAAAAAAAAA